AAAAAAAAAAAAAATTATAATCATAATAAATTGTTCATTTTTAAATTTTTTTGGGGAGGATTTATTTTATGGGCCAGTGTCGTTTTTATGCAGCATGGTTGCAGGTAAGCAATGGAGAAGATGCTTATATAGCTGCTATGTTCAAGACAAAAACAGAAATTAGAACTGCTGGATGGGTTATAGCCAGGCAGGGATGTTGGACCATGCTTAAGGGTGGCTTTACTCTGAATATTTCTACCCCTGTCGAATTCTATTTCGAGGTACCATTTTATATTTTATGGTACCTTTTTCACAAGTCTTCAAGTTGTTTTTCTTAAGTAGGCAATTTTATTTGGCTTTCAGACACAAAATACAACGATCGACATATGGGTAGACAGTGTTTCTCTACAACCATTTACCCAGAAAGAATGGAGGTTTCATCAACATCGAAACATTGAGAAGGTTTGTGTTTCTGTCTCGGGCTGCCCTCGGGTGGAAATGTATCTAAGGGACTATTAACCGTCGTAAAAGTAAATGTTATTTAGCATCAGTCTAGGTGGTAGTGAGGTCCATCTCGACTTGACTAATGCTGTCAAAACTGGTGTTAGATAGCATTATTCCTTTCCTAAAATTACGATGTTTAATTATTGGACAATATCTAAGTTTTATAAGCTGTCTTAATTTGCAGCTACGCAAGAGCCAAGTTAAATTTCAAGTTACTGATTTCGAGGACAATCCCATAGCGAATGCAAAAATTTCCCTAAAGCAGATTAAACTGGCATTTCCATTCGGCAATGCAATGAGTGAGGCCATCATAGACGACAAAGCCTATCAGTCTTGGTTCACCTCCAGGTTCAAGTACACAGTTTTTGAAAATGAAATGAAGTGGTATTCTAATGAGAAATACCCTCGTCAAGAAAACTATTCTATCCCTGATGCCATGCTGAAATTTGCCCATAAACATAAAATTACTGTCCGTGGACACAACATTCTTTGGGACGATCCCAGGTAGCACTTCATCTCTTCGATGAAACACCTTGTCTAAAACTTATTTTTTATGACCTGACATGTGAACAATTTTATGCACTTGATTCCAGGTACACTCCCTCGTGGGTTAAAAAACTTCCAAAACGCGATGTACCAGAGGCTACCGAAAGGAGGATAAATTCTATCGTGAAAAGATACTCAGGCAAGGTGATTCATTGGGATGTTATCAATGAAAATTTACATTTCTCACAGTATGAGGATAAAATGGGGAGAAATGCATCAGCTGTATTCTTGAAAAAGGCTCACGAACTTGATAAAAAGGCACTGCCATTTTTGAATGAGTTCAACACTATCGAGAGGCCTAGAGACTCTTCAGTAACAGCAGCTAAATATTTGGACAAAATCAAACTGATTAGAAAACAAGGTTATCTTGGCCCTCTTGGAATTGGATTGGAAGGTCATTTCGCTGTTCCAAATCTCCCGTATGCAAGAGCTTCCATTGATATGCTTGCTGCTACAAATTTGCCAATTTGGATTACAGAATTGGACGTCTCGCACACACAAGATGAGGTAATTTGATTTTATTGCTCACTCAGAGTCAAGAAAAACGGCAAGGTTAACAAGAATATATATTGTCATACTAAAACGGATAAGTTGTATTATATGTTTTTGCAGTCAGTGTACTTGGAGCAGGCTATAAGAGAGCTCCACGCGCACCCAGCAATTCAAGGCATACTACTGTGGGCAGCATGGAAGCCCCCAAAGGGGTGCTGGAGAATGTGTCTAACAGACAATGATTTCAATAACTTGCCAACTGGTGATGTGGTTGACAAGGTATTACGGGAATGGAGGCATAAGGATTTTGTGGGCACTACAGATTCTGGCGGTTACTTCACAACTTCATTGTTTCATGGAGCTTACAAAGCCAGAATTAGTCACTTTTCAGGGAAAAAATCTGAGAAAATTAATGAAGTATTTGAGGTGAAGCCAGCAATGGGAGATGTAGATCAGAAAACACTACATTTAAGAGTCCACCCGTGAGTTTCTACTTGTGATTATTGAGCTCTTGTTGATTATAAATTGTTTTCTATAAAAACTTTAGAGAAACTTTTGACCAATATATATATATAAAGGTAGAATTGCACTTCATTGAATTTTTTTTTTTTATTTTTTCCAGCAGATATCAACTAAGAATCAACTTTATCGCTTAATTAACTAAAAATTACCTTCAAAATTAACAAGCTATTAGAATTTAATATTTAAATAGCTATTTTAAAATTACCTATTAAATTCATTAAAATAATTATAAACCAATGGTGATGGAATAGTAGACATGAATATTCACTAATTAAATAGTGTGTCGTATCACCGATGTTTAATATAGTTAAGCATCGATGCTTAAAGGATTATTTTGAGGTGTATAATAATTTTAGAGATATCTCTCTATTTTCAAAAATTACAATTTCCATTATTTCAAGTTTTGAATAATGTATATGTCCAACGACCATTTTTCTCTCATATGTTAGCACAGATAATAGTGAAAAAATGCTTAAAATTACCTAAAAATTTCATATATGTTGTGACTCTTTTAAAAATAACGTCTTACATAAAATACATTCATCAACATAATATTATAAAGACTATCAATTCTTCTAAGATACTCCAATGTTTAATTGATTTGAATAATTACATTGAGAAACACAAGCTATAGGGATTCTAATGCTGTTTTCTTCATAAATCAATACTCGGAAATTTGATAGTTGTGCTTATTACTTTGTCACATAACATAGGATAGAGGGATTTTAGTGGTGATTTCATTTTGAATCAGCACTTAGATGTAATAAATAACATAATTACGTTTCTAAATATTCATAGGTTTGCGATTCTACTTTAATAGAGAATTGACCATAAAATGAAGTTATTACACGACCAGTCAAATGAAATTTAAACTAATACAACATATTTCTTATTTCTCAAATATTACATTATATTCTTTTGTATAGAGTGGTTGGGTTATAGTACAAAAAATAATAATAATAATAATAATAATTTATTATTTTTGTTCTTACTACTTTGATTGCGCTCATTACTTTGTTACAAGTGAGTATTTCAAATCAGAGTATTTGTTCATGTATCAGTATTGTTGAAAAATTGATAGTCTAAATAATATTATGTTGTTTATTTAACTAGAAGTGTTAAAAATATATTTTATGTTGAGAGAAGTTGGTGTAATGTTTTAAAATGGAGGGGTATTGATAAAATTATCGTAAACCTCGGGGAGGTAAGCATTATTCAAAAATTTGAAATAATGGAGGCTTGTATAATTTTTGAAAAGGGAGTTGGTGTCTCCGAAATTGTCATATACCTCGTGGGAGGCACGCGTTATTCAAAAATTGAAATAAAAGATATTTGTGTAATTTTTAAAAAGTGTAGAGTGTCACTGAAATTNCTCGTGGGAGGCACGCGTTATTCAAAAATTGAAATAAAAGATATTTGTGTAATTTTTAAAAAGTGTAGAGTGTCACTGAAATTGGTAGAAACCTCATGGAGTCTATGTAATTTGCCCTATTGATAACTTTTTAACTAATCAAATTTTAACTTCAACAACACATATTATTGACATATAACTTTTATCAATTTTTCAATCACTCGTATAATCAACTTTTATCAAATATATGACTATTTTATTTTATTTTATTTTTTTTTTTATTAAAAGCATTGTCATATAACACCTAACGTGTATAGACTCAAATTGTGTTGGTTTGGATTTTGATAAAACAACCTGCACCATGATCCAATTTGTAAAAAAAAAAAAATTGACTGCAATCTGAATAGAAAGATCGACCTAAATGGGTCAGTTCGATTGGGTTAATCGATTTCGCAATCCAAATGCCCGTTCCTATACATAAGGCCACGTTTGGGTTGGATTTGGTACCCTAACTTTTGATTCTCAATTAGAAGTTGTTCTAAGTGTTTGATTAAAAAAAAAAAAAAAAAAAGGATTATAAAAGAATTTGTAACATTTAAGAACATATTTTTGAAAGTTAGCAAAATAGTAGGTAGTTTTTCAAATTCTACTTTAGTTTCCCTAATTATTTATAGCTCATATCTATTTTAACCATAATTAATTAAATTAATTCATTTTCTATCATATCTTACTTATATTCCAAAAATAAATAGAGAAAGAAAGCTAAATGCAATAAAGGTAATAAAGTATTATTTTAATATTTATGTTATTATGAACTGCTTTTATTTCTTATATATAATTTTCAAATTTAATGAATTTTTTTTAAAAAATAACAACAGTAAATACACTATTTTTGCAAAAAAAAATAATATTATTATATACTGTTATAAAAGTAAAAATAAATAAAACAACATTACTAATGAAAATAGTCATATAAAAAATTCATTATAAATAATATCGATTTTAGTAAATGAAAAATTACTTTAGGTTTCCAAATGCTAAAATGCTGATTTTTAAACACGAACAATTTTGAAACAAACATTTAACTGATTCTTCATGCAACTTCTTATTTCTTCAGAACAACAAACAGTTGATTATCTTAAAAGCAAAGTAATAACAAACCACGCATAAGTGAAGTAATTTACAGGTGAAGGAAAAATCAATTGCTAATAATTTGTTGCAAAATCCATAGAAAAAATAATTAAACAAAATGAAACAAATTGAAAAATATTTTGTAAAAAATTGCTATAGTTAAGAACTAAATTTACTAATTGGATTATTTTATTTACACAATGTAATGTTATATATACAGTTCGGTTACACACAAAACATGTATTTAGGCAATATGGGTACCTTTTGAAGTAGTATAATCAATATATACCTGGTTTTGACACCCGACAATTGAAAATTAAAATGTTGTATAGCCGTTTCTCAGTTCCTTCTGTGTGACGAAGTCACGGCATCTTCAAATAACTAAAATTGGGTATTTGTGGCTGGACAGTTAGGATAATTGCCTTCCAAAAAATAGCCTCGAATTCAACTCCCATAAACAAACTATAACTTTTTTATGGCTATTTTTCAGTTGTGTTGTGTAATGACCTGAGCCTCGTGTCTGATTGTTCTTTTATGTACTGTTTGCTTTGAAAGGAAATCTCCCGTCTTATCCCTCATGGCATTCTATCATGTTCCTCAAGATTTGAATCCAAGATCTCTACATATGAGAGATTTAAGTTGAGTCAATTTTGTTTTTACTGTAGTTTTTTTATTGAGTCTCATTTTAAGGAAAAAAAATTTGTAATAATGATTTTTGAAGAATATGTGGTTAAAAATAGAAAAATTGTGGATTTACGTTTAAATTATTTTATCGAAAGAATGTGTGATTAAAAATGAGTTTCAAAAAAATGGGTTCAAACATGGGCAAAATTTGACGAAAGAAAAACGATTAGTCACAAGACTTTGATTGTTATAAAAAACGCGCTACCTAATTGGTACCAAAATTCAATTTAAATCTTTCATACGCAGAGATCTTTGGTTCGAATTTTGAGAGATATGACAGAAAGCCTTGAAGGGTAAGAGGGAAAATTCTCTTCCAAATCGGATAGATCGTTAAAAAATGGCCGAGCACGATGTTTAGATCGTTACATGCCGTGCCACAAATTAGAAGCTTCTTTAAGTCGCTAATTTTGATACGAATTGAGTTCAAAAAGATAGAGCCTAGAGATGTGTGGTTTAGTCACTAATTTTGATTCGGAAAATCATTGTAGACACGTGAATTTACTAAACATAATATTGTAAAAAAAGATGTACAATATGTTTAGCAAAAGTTTCTTTTTTCTCTTGGGCTAATGCTGCTTGTACACCTCAATATGTACACACGAGGCTATGCCACTCTCACATGAAGGGAGACTCATGCATAATTTAGGGTAATTAGCACAAAATGTCCCTATCTTTCGATATTTTTTGGAAAACATCCCTACATTTCGTTTTTTGATGGATTACACCCTCACCTTTATCTTTTTTTTGCGCGAAACATCCTTCTGTCAACTCCCAATTAAAATATTCCGTTAAATCAAAAAGTAATTAGCATAAAAGATCCTTACCTTTCAATATTATTGTGCAAAACATCCATACCTTACATTTTTTGACATAATTAGCACAAAAGGTTTCTACCTTTCAATGTTATTGTGCAAAACGTCCATATCTTTCATTTTTTAGTATTTTCACCTCTACCTTTCACCTTTCATTGCGAAAAAGGTCATTTTTATCCATTTTTTCAATAAAATGACGATTTTACCCTTCTTATTCAAATAAAACAAAAAGAAAAGATGAATTACCAACTGTAACCATAGTCCTTAAATTACAAAGAAATCATAAATTCCCAACCACTACCACTTTCACAATCTATTAAGATGCCAACTATAAATCAACATAACTCCACCTTTTTGACACCATGCCCACCAGACTCCGCCACCGCAAATGTGGTTGTTTCGGATAGATTGGTGATCAATACTATGAAGGAGAATATTGGGGAGAGTGAGGCGAGACTGGTGGTGGTAGAGTCCGATAGGTGTTGTAGCCGAAAGGTGGTGCTATATGGATATATAGGTGGTGGCTTGGTTGGATTATGAAAGTGACGGTAGTGGAGAATTTATGATTTATCTGTAATATTTTGAAAGAATTAGGACTATGATTGCAATTAATTATTTATTTTTCTTTTCTTTTCTTTTTGTTTTATTTGAATAGGAAAGGTAAAATTGTCATTTTATTGAAAAAATGGATGAGAAAGACTTTTTCCCAATGAAAGGTGAAAAGTAGGGGTGAAAATGCTAAAAAATGAAAGGAATGGACGTTTTGCACAATAACATTGAAAGGTAGGGACCTTTTGTGCTAATTACCTTTTGATTTAACAGAACATTTTAACGGGGAGTTGACATAATGACGTTTTGCGCAAAAAAAAAAGTAAATGTGAGAGTCTAATCCGTCAAAAAACGAAAGGTATGAACGTTTTCCACAAAAATATCGAAAGGTATGGACGTTTTTGTGCTAATTATCCCATAATTTATTATATGTGGGCCCCCTTCATATGAAGGGGGTGTAAACTCGTGTGTATACCATTATGTATATACAATATTACGCTTTTCTCTTTTTGGGAGTCTAATTTTGATAGATTAGTCATGTCTATGTGAATTCATACCATAAAATATGATAAAACATATTATGTAATTACGAATTAAAAATATAATAAAAAGATTGGATGGTGAAAAATTGGGAAGCGATCATGTTCCCCACACTTGCCAAATCTACCATTCGAGGCGATGAATGTTGTCAACTCTAAATCATATCGTTTAGGGATTTATTATCCAATGTATTAAAATATACAACAACTCAACTGGATAATGAATTAGAAAGCCAACTAACTTTAGTAATAGAGTAATGCTATTCAACTCTACTGGGGTTACAACCAAAATCTAGGTGGCATTAACGTAACATTAAATGATAGGTAAAATTAAATAAGTCATTGAATTTCACCTTTCATTTAGCCTATTATTTAGCGCCATTTAAGCAGAAATTATAACTCCGATGGAATTATATAGCATTATTCTCAGTAATAATATCTACTAATGATGAATAGTATAATCAAATAATAAATAATTCATAATGTTATTATGTATTTGACAATCAATGGCGAAATAAATGTGTAGATATCTTATCTTGAATTTATCATTTATAAACTTTTTAGGTGGTAGTTGTTTCCTTAATTTATTGTCCAACGTATTGAAATATGTTGTAATTTTATTGGTCAATGAATCGAAGAATCAATCTTTACTAATGTTGAAGTATTGCTCGAATATGAATTTGTGAAAGAGTGATGTTATTTACCACAATTGAGGATTATTATGTGGAATTCTAGGGAAAGTCAATAAAATGAGTATCATAACTCGAACTTATCATTTCATGACCCGTTCAAGTGGTTGCGGGTCTCTTAATCTATTGTAGTGCATTGAAACTTATCACAATTCTATTGGTATATGAATCAAAGGATCCACTAGCAGCAATAATAGTCTTAAATTGTCGAAGATCCCAAGTAACTAGCCAAGTAGCTTGAGCCCTTGTTTGAGCTACATTATTTCCATAAGCATGTATTTTTGAATAGTGTATTGATGAGAAGATGTGTGGTTAAAAAATAAAGAAAATTTTTGAATTTGTGTGTAATATTTTTTATTGAAGAATGTGTAGTTGAAATAATGTTAAATCACTGTTTAAGAATGTATTTTTTTTTTTAAATAATGTTAGGTAATGATGAATATTACTCGAGTATAAATTTATGAAAGAGTGATTTTATTTACCCTCATGGTTGATGACCAACATATTATGTAACAATAATTGACAAGGCTAACAAAATAAGTATCACACCTTGAACATTCTTTGAAATTACATGTAATATAGACAAGTGGTCGTCCATAATTATAAAGAGCATTACTCTTGGTGGAATAGTGTGTGCATGAAGTTTCAATTAGAAAAGAATTTCTTTCCTTATAAATTTGATACAATCGATTGCTTTCCAACTCCAACACGCAACATCAAGATTTTGTTCCCTTAAAAATTGTCTGCCACTTTCATCCCTCTTCCAATTTTAATTCAACACGTCATCTTCAACAATTATTTTCCTAATTGAGAGTCACAACCATAACATGAGAGAGTAGTTAATTTCAAAATTAATGACCTTTGACTGAAATAATTCACCGATTAAATATTTTTGGCTCCATCTTCACCAAAATAATTAATTTTTCGATTCTCTCTTTCATTTCCAGCTTTTCCTCTCGTTTCATTTCCCTTATTTATCAATTTTTATATGGCATGATATCACTTATTAGGTATTAATGATTTTAACAATATTTTGAACTACAAAAATCTACTATCGAATTTCACATTTTATTCTTAATTCCTTCTAGTATAAAAGGTCACTATAATGTTACTCATACATTCAAGAGAAACAAATTATCACCATTAATGGCAAAACTATTGACATCCTGTCTGTTCCTATTTGTCTTTCTTACTCTCCTCTATGGTATTACTTGATACTCATTTTGAAATTTTTCCTCTACACAATGTGACGTACTTTTAGGAGAAAAAGAACTGATTTTTACCATCAGCTGTGTTGTCTGTCAAGACAGAATTTAATTTATCATTGTTTATATTGTACAGATTACAGAGTTTATGCTGTCACCTATGATCACAGATTCAATAGCAAGGCAGGCCACCCTTTCTTTCAAAATTTTATTCTCAAGAACCCCCCCACACGAAATTATTGTTTAATTTAATTTTAGTTTTTTTTGCTTAACTTGATGATTGAAAAATTAATATATTTTTTGTTCGACAGTGTTTGGTGAAGCCAGAAGAAGCTCATTATGGTGGAGGGATAGTTGTAAATCCAGAACTGAATCACGGGTTAAAAGGTTGGACAACATTAGGCAATGCTAAAGTCGAACTTCAAGAATCCGAAGATGGTAACAAATACATAGTTGTGTCCAATAGAAATAGAACGTTCGATTGTTTTACACAGAAATTTAATTTGGAGAAGGATAAACTTTACGTGTTCTCCGGTACGTATCCATTGCTTCATATGTTTAATAACATTTTTTTTGTAAATTCTTAGCCTTGATGGACACCATATGTTTTTTGTTTGCTAAATGTCCAGTCACATTTTAGGTTTGGGTTTCATTTAATTTATTCTTCTGAAATTCTACTTTCAAAGTCAAAAAATAATTTTAAATGATGTAGGACCCACAAAAATTACCCAGATATTATACATATATCTTATGCAAACCTTATTAATATTTTTTAGCTTGGTTACGGGTAAGCCAAGGGAAAGCTCACGTAGCTGCTATGTTCAAAACACAAACTGGCTATGAATTTGTTGGATGGACCATGGCTCGAAAGGGTTGTTGGTCCATGCTTAAGGGTGGCATTGTTGTGAATTCTTCTAGCCCTGCCTACCTCTATTTTGAGGTAACAAGTTACACTATCTCCATCCCTGCCAGCATGTCTTTTTTTGGAAATAATATTCACACTTTCATTGTCGTTAATATATTTATTTGACCTCTCTATTCTTTCAGACTGAAGATCCATCAATTAATATTATGGCAGACAGTATTTCATTGCAACCATTTACACACGAAGAGTGGAAGTCTCACCAAGATCAAAACATTGAGAAGGTAAACATGTATATATAATGTGTGAGCGCGCTTATGTATGTGTTTGTTTGATTTAATTTTTATTTGATAAAAAATTCCAGATTCGCAAGAGCAAGGTGAAATTTCAAGCTGTTGATCAACACGGCCAACCATTACCCAATGCAACGATCTCCATCAAACAAAATAAACGGAGTTTCCCCTTTGGTTGTGCGATAAACAATAATATCCTATCAAATACTGCATACCAGAACTGGTTCTTGCCCAGGTTTACACACACAGTATTCGAGAACGAAATGAAGTGGTATGCCACTGAAAGTTCCCGTGGCAAGATAAACTACAATACCGCTGATGCCATGCTTAAGTTTGCGAAAACACACAATATTCAAGTTCGAGGTCATAATGTTTTCTGGGAAGATCCGCGATACCAACCTAATTGGGTAGGAGGACTTTCGAAAAATGACCTATTGAATGCCACGGAGCAAAGGATAATTTCTATAGTAAAACGATATATAAGACAGTTGATCCATTGGGATGTCATGAATGAAAATCTGCATTTTTCATACTATGAATCGAAGATTGGGGGGATAGCATCCACTGCTTTTTATAAGAAGGCGTACAAGATTGATCGGAGAACAACTCCATTTTTGAATGACTATAACACAATCGAGGATAGCAGGGATGGTGCAGCCTCACCGCCTAAGTATTTGCATAAGATTAAACAACTTAGACGAGAAGGTTACAAGGGTCCTTTGGGGATTGGATTGGAGGGTCATTTTCAAACTGCAAATCTTCCTTACATACGAGCTTCACTCGATCATCTTACTTCCGCAAAACTACCCATTTGGATTACTGAATTGGATGTTCAATCCGGACCTAACCAGGTAACTTTTTACTACAAATCCTTATGTTTGAGACAAAAAAATAAAGATATTTACGATTGATATTGTGTGTACTTATTTGGGCAGGCCAAATACTTGGAGCAGATTATAAGGGAGGTTCATGCGCACAGGGGTGTAGATGGGATAATGATTTGGGCTGCATGGAGTCCACAAGGATGCTATAGAATGTGTTTAACAGACAACAATTTCGAAAACTTAGAAACTGGAAACGTTGTTGACAAAATCTTGTCTGAAATTGGCCTTGTTTCAAGTCTAAATGGAACCACAGACTCTAATGGTTACTTTGAAACTTCACTATTTCATGGAGTTTACGAAGCCCAAATCAATCATCCAACAGCACTGTCAGAATCTTACAACATAAAAAGGTTTAATGTGGCATTGATGGGGAGAAATCCGAAGAGAACAACGCTAGTCAAAATCCGTGCATGAAGAGTCGACGACAGATTTAGTAGCTAGAACAAAGACATATCGATTTATACCTTTTTATTTCTGATCAATTATATGTTAATATTATCATTTGCATGGGTAAATTGATGAAAATTGTTTATTTTGGTAAGATTCTATTATTATAAAATCAAAACGCTGGGAATTTGGGCATTAAGGACTTAAGTGCTACAGTTGCTCAGAAAGTTATGCTGCATATATTACCGATCTTAATGATTTCTTTTGAATGATTGAAAAATGACTTGATTGCTCCCATGCACATATAACTTATAACAGAGAGCAAAAAAAAAATAAAAAATAAAATCATTGTATCAGTACTGAATTTTCCCACCTATATAGTGAAAATGTATGTGAAATATTTCTTAAAATAGGATCAAGAGAATTCACGCCATTATACTAGGGTTGGACTTCGATTGGTTCGATCGATATCTTGAGAATTGGACTGAATGAATTTTCATTGGAATAATGAGAATGAAACCATTGATTCCATAATAACAAAAGGAATTGGACCAATTTTGGTTGGATTTTTATTCTTTATAATTTTAAAGTGAACTAGTCAAATTGATCGACTCAACCCAAACCAACTGGTTTACCGGTTTGGGTTGGTTCTTTAGTTCATTTATGTAGTGTTTGGTTTAAGAAATCAAATTCTGGGTCGGGTCGGGTTTCGGGTATCCATTAAAACCCAATCAACCCAACCCAAAAAATTTAAAAATATAAAAAAAAAAAAAAAAAGGGAAGAAGAAAAGGACAGCCCTAATTTCTATTTCACGCTTTACATATTAGACAATCAAATCATCAGTTATATTTAATAAATATGATCTTTCTATTTAATGTAATCCTTAGAAATTTATTGGATACATTGTTAATAGAATATATTAAAATCTGAATTGGAGACATCTAGTCTTTTTATTTTTTATTTTTTTATTTTACGAAATATAGTAAAATCTATGTAGGCTTTATGGTGTTAGTACAATCTATGTGGGTTTTACATTAGTTTTGAGCAACATTTTTGTCCCTTACACAGTAGAAAGTTGAGCAAAGGTTTCAAAATCCTACGTTTACACCCTTGTAACCATGTCTAAAGAATTATTCCAACAATTTCGACCAAACCTTCTTCCTCATTTTCAATTTTAATTTATTTTGTTTCAAGATTTCAATTGAATTTATTTCAAAATTATACAGAAATAAATCTTTGTCTAGCTAGATGACAAGAAATGTGCGACGAGGCAGACCATACACACACACACACTAACAAACATGCTTAATTTTTACTTTCAATATTTTGATTAATTTGTCATTTAACCCTAGATTCTTGATGCTCAACTTTTGCACCTCCCAATGCTGTCCAGCCTTTTAACCCATGATTCAGTTCTGGATTTATAACTATCCCTCCACCATAATGAGGTTCTGGCTTTATCAATCACTGAAAAAATCATGCCCCAAAAATCATATAACATTGTTGCATCTGACATAAAGGGATCGCTTCACGGTTTTTCACAGAAATTTTACCTGGAGAACGATAAACCTTACATGTTCTCTGGTATATATATATTTCTGTAACCTTAATATAAAAATTCAAACTGTAACAATTTTTTTGACGCTAATAATATGTTTGGTATGCTGAACGTGGATCTTCAGTTTAATGTACTAAATTTTTTTTTCTTGAATAATTATTTAGTTCTTGTATTATCTTATCTCGTCCACTACTACATGCTGTAAACTTCTTTGAATGAGCTTCTTCGCTTTATGTGAACCTTGTTGAATTTCATTTTAGCTTGGTTAAGGGTAAATCAAGGGAACGCTCACATAGCTGCTATGTTCAAAACACAAACTGGCTATGAAACTGCTGGTTGGGTTGCGGCGCAAAAGGGTTGTTGGTCCATGCCTAAGGGTGGCATTGCTGTGAATGCTTCTGGCCCTGCCCACCTCTATTTCGAGTTAAGTACTTACCTCTACCTCTCCCCCCCTCCCCAACATTTTTTCTTCACAATTGTATAATTTACATTCACTCTCAATTGTAAAATTCACTGTTATTCATATACTTTTTCGACTTTTCTATCCTTTCAGAGCAAAGATACATCAGTTCATATCATGGCAGATAGTATTTCGTTGCAGCCATTTACGCACGAAGAGTGGAAGTCTCATTGAGATCAAAGCATTGAGAAGGTAAACTTTTATATTTAAATATGTAGCAATGTACGAGATCTGGATCACCATTCACTGTCTTATTCACCAAAAAAATAAAATTTCAGGTACGCAAGAGCAAGGTGAAATTCCAAGCTGTCAATCAACACGGCCAACCTTTACGGAATGCAACAATCACCGTTAAACAGAACCGACCTAGTTTCCCCTAGGGTTGCACCATTAACCCGTTCATCTTGTCTAATACTGGGTTCCAAAACTGGTTTGCTTCTAGGTTTAAATACACAGTATTCGAGAACGAAATGATGTGGTATGTCAATGAACCTGCCCGTGGCAAGGAAACTTACACTGATGCTGATGCCTTGCTCAAGTTTGCCAAGGCCAACAGCGTCCAAGTTCGAGGTCATAACATATTATGGGATGGTGTTAAACTCGTACCTAATTGGGTGGGAGGACTTTCAACAAATGATCTATGGAGTGTTACACAGAACAGGATAAATTCTCTTGTGAAAAGACACGCAGGCCAGATGATCCATTGGGATGTTATGAATGAAAACCTACATTATCGTTCTTTGAATCCAAATTGGAAGCAACGCGTCCACTGTTTTTTTACCAGATGGTGAACACAATTGACGGGAAAGCAACTCTATTTTTGAATGATTATAACACAATTGAGACAACTAGAGACTCTGATGCCTCAGCGGCTAAGTATTTGGCAAAAAATCAATCAAATTAGACAAGAGGGCTATAATGGTCCTTTGGGAATTGGATTGGAGGGTGAAGCGAACTTCTTAGCGTCGTATATAAATTCATAGCCAAAATTTTTACAAGACACACAGCCAGGTTCGACCAGCCAAAATTTTCTATGGTGCATTGCTAGGTGGGTCACACAAAAATCCCTAAACACATAGCATGATTGAAAAGAGAAATATTTATTCTAGTACACCTTGCCAAACGTCCCCATTGCGACGTACTAATTAAAGTGAAGATTGATGTTAATTGTGTATTATTTGTGCAGGCATTGTACTTGGATCAGATTATAAGAGAAGCTCACGCGCACCCGGCCGTGGAAGGGATAATGACATGGGGTCCATGGACTCCAACAGGATGTGTTTAACAGACAACAATTTCAAAAACTTAGCAACTGGAGACGTTGTTGACAAGATCTTGTCGGAATTGAAACTTGCTGCTGGTTTAAAAGGAGCCACAGACTCTAATGGGTACTTCGAAACTTCACTATTTCATGGAGAATATGAAGCCCAAATCAGTTATCCATCGTTACAGTCAAAATCGAATTACAACTTGGAAAGGTTCAACGTGGCATCAATGGTGGAAGCTGATCGGGGAACATTTCGTGTCAAAATCCACGCATGAGTTAAATATATAACAACATAAGGAATGCAATTTCTTTTGACTATGTGATCAATTTAGTATACTCATATTTCTATAATAAAATTTTAGAATATTTCAATGGTCTTAAAAACAAGTGTACTCGTTAGACTAAGGGCCCGTTTGATTGCAAAAATGAAAAAGACAAATAAATTCCATCTAAATTGGAAAAGAAAAAATCACCACAACCATAGGAATTCGATTTTCATGGAATTGACCAAAAATATGCTTTAAGTGTTTGTACCTTGAAATTTGAATTTCATTTCCTCTTTCATATCAAACAGCCAAAGTAGAAAACGAATTTATCGGATATGACATTTTCCATGAAATTCGTTTCAATCAAACAGGCCGTAATAAATGTTTTACTTTTCTTTGTATCACTTCTGTGTCAATATTATTTTTGACATTTATCATTCGAGGTTAAAGGGAAAAATCAAAAGGTTGCAACTGAATCCTAAAAAAAATAAAGATACTGAAACCGTAGAAACAGCATTACTGTCATTAGTAATTTGAAAATTTATCCAGCAAATTTTCCAAATGAAGTACTCGATTGCTCTGCAAACCTGGGGCTAAAAACACATAACAAAATAGTAAATTATAATTGTATAGTTACTCAATTTTCTCATTAATTTTGTGTTTTTAAGTATGGCAAAACTTCCAAGAAATAGAAAATTGAATTACTTTGTCTAACGTACCAAGCAATAAGTTCTCTTTCTTGAATGCCAATCAAACTCATTTTTTAAAGAAATTGATTCATTGTTTGCACTGTTGTTCTATATTCTAAACCTTAGGTACTCGACAATTAATAGTTTTATTGAAATTGATAATTAAACCTAGGTACTTAATCTATCTCAGTTTTCATCGCTGTTCCATATTCTAGAGAGTTCAAACAGCTCACACGTCTTCCATGGCTCAATCTTGAGCATATAAACAAACCATTTTGAAACGGTTTGAGTTTAGAAGTTGATATTTAAAAAGCTTTTGAAACAGAAAATTCCCACCAGCACAGCTGGCTGAAAGCAGATTAAAAACAGAAATTTGACGATAGCGGCTGGATGAAATTTTGGGGATAAATGGGTATTTGTTGGATTTTCTAGGTCTTGCAAGCGAACTCCTATCAACGCGGGATAATAACAAGAGAAAATCCAAAATTATTTTGGAAAGAAAAGAAATAAGATAAACATTATTTCATATTAGGAAACTTGTGTTTGACTTATCTTTTTTAGTTGTGTTTATCTTTTCTAGTTTTCTAGGTATAGTTGTGATGACTTTTATCTGTTATTTAATTAGGATTATAATTTCTTTATTAACTAGAATAGGATTTTTAATTAGATTATATATATATATATATATATATATATTATTCAGTGGATTCCAAATAATTATCAAGTCCGTTCGAGCAAAATGCGAGCAAACCCCATTCGTGTGTTAAGAACTAGACTAAGGAGGAAGGACAGCGTCATTGCATCTTCCACTCGCTTTATTCTATCAAGAATAAAGTGTGTTAAGTGATTGTGGATAATGGAAATTGTGAAAACATTGTGTCGAAAAGGTTGGTAAATTTGTTGAAATTACCAATTGAAAATCATCCTAAAACTTATTCACTTGATTGGGTGAAGAGAGGTCCTTCCATTCGGATTGTTGCGATTGCAAAGTACCTCTATCCATTAAGAAGCATTATAAGGATGAAATTATGTGATATTATAGATATGAATGCTTGCCATATCCTATTGGGTCGTTGAAGGAAGTTTGATGTAGATTTAACCATCAAAGAGCTTGATAATGTGGTACTCTTTTCATTGGGCAGTCATAAGATCGCTATGATTCCTCTCAAACAGACGGAGAAATTTACTCAACAACGAACTGAGAGTTTCTTGTAGAGTCTATAAGAAAATATGATTGTTTTTATCCAGTTGTAGTTAAAGAGCTTTTTACAGTAAAGAAGATGAGGGTGTTCTGTCTGAGGTGCAAGAAATATTAATAGAATTTGAAGATTTGGTTTCTGATGAATAATCGAATGAGTTACCTCCTATGAGGAATATGCAACACTGGATTGATTTGGTACCTAAGGCTAGCCTTTTGAATTTGTCTCATTACCGAATGAGTCCAAAAGAGAATGAGGGTTTGTCTATTCAAGTGACTCAAATTTGTAAAGTAATTTTGTCAATTGAGACTCGTCACAAATTAGAAGTTATTTGTGATCTTGTTAAGTTAGATAGGTGTCATATTCTACTAGATAGATCATGGCAAATTAATGTGGATGACATATATAAAGGTAGAGAGAATACCCACAAGTGGAAGGATAAAAATATTACCATAGGGAGGATATATAAAGCTTCTAAAGTGGAAGGGAAAGATTTTCTAACAATTACAAATTCAAACAGTGAATTTTCTTCAATGAACATTTATAGAAGAGAATGATACGGGACAATACCAAGAGAAAATTCAAAATTAATTAAGAAATGAAAAATAAGATATACATAATCTCTTAACTCTCTCTTTTTTAGCCGTGTTTATCATTTCTAGTTTTATAGGTATAGTTTTGATATGACTTTTATTTTTTATTTAATTAGGATTTTAATTCCTTTATTAATTAGAATATGATTTTGAATTAGATTAGAATTTTATTAGTTTCCTTATTTTAAACTCCTTATATTAGTAAGATTATGGGATAATTTTGCCTATATATATAAAGGCTTTGTACATGTTGATTAAAATATTATTTTTTTAATTTAATAGTCTAAAGTAATAATTTTTTTATACTTATTGCACCATATATAAATAGTTAAAAAACAAATAGAAATCAAATTGTTTATTAGAACTATTCAAAATTGAACATACATTGCACGTTATTTTAAAATACTTTATAAGTAATGTAAAAGTAATATATGATACCAATTTGTTGGAGGATTTCATGAGTCTCAAACGAATTAAAGAAAATAAAATTTAGTATAGAAATTTAAAAGATTCAACTTTTACTCTCACAACTCAATTTCTATTATTCAAATTTTTTATAATGATGAATATTATAAATGAATAATCTTATTATATTACATTTGATACATAAAAATTAATTCTTAATACATTAATTTAAACACCCATTAAAATTTTTAGATACATGAATTAGGGGTAAACGCGATTTGATTTGGACGGTTTGTGCTATATTTTCAACTTAAACCATTTTATTCGATTTGAAATTTTTCCAAACCATTTTATTTTTAAACCAAACCAAATCAAACTATAATTTGCAATTTGGTTCGATTTTAATCCGCAGTTTACTTATCGACATTATAGTAATATATTTAACATATAAGTTTAAATGAGAATTAATAATGTTAAATGTTAAATTATATTCATATTTATTATGAAACCCATGAATAAATTATTTTCAAAATTGGTTACTAAAATATGTTAATAGAACAAATATATCTTTCTTTATTTTTATTTTTATTTTCTTGTTTGACATTCATATTGTTATATGGCGGCTGATAAAGAAAAAGTTACATTCTGTTATTATAGTTTGATTAAAATTCATTTCGTCTTACTAATGAGATATTAAATAATAATTGAACGGGATATGTTTAGATATACAAAGATTGATAGAGTTTCGGTTTATTGGGAATTGACGATAACATTTTCTAAATACTTTATGAAAGTAGAAAGTAATAGTATTAGTTAGGGAACTTTAACATTTTAACACAATCAGTCGCTCCATTCTTCGTTCTTTCTAAACTACAAATAAGTTCATCAATCATCTAAACACACAAATAGGCATTTTTCTATTCAGACAACAATTCGCAAGTGTATAATAACTTTAAAAAAACAAATAAAAGAAAAAACAATGGAAAAATGGCTTCAATGAGATTTACCGAAGGAGAAGAGAGAAAGAGTTGATTTAAGTAGAAATTAGCAGACTAACAGACAAAGGCGACTTGTGATTCGTTTAGCAATGACAGACAAGCGTCAAATGTTAGGGAAATGAAAGTTTATGTTAAGGCTTCTAAATAAGTCAACTAACAGAAAAACTAACGGAATATTCGGACTCCAAGTAAGAATATCTGAAATGTTTAGTATTATGAGTGGTATAAATGAAAGGTTTGCGTCAAGTCTGTTACTAAATGAAATGTTTGATATCGTATCTATAATTTTTCCTCATAAAATTTAAAACTTTTCAAAGGCTTAAAGATTTGGGAGTACTTTTAACATAATGTATTGCTCTTGTCATTAGCAATATGTCAATATTATTATTTTATATGTTAAAAGGGGCCAAATTATTTGTCGATGACTATATTTTAAGTGTTATAAAATTAAGCATTCGTTTGGTAAAATTTATAAATAATTTAAAATAATTAAATTTCATTTTCAACCTTGCATTTCAAATCCGATAAGTACTATCTATTTATTTATCCACACTAATTTATATGTATTTATAAATCAATTGTTTATAATTTCTACTCAATTGGAGGCTACAAGGTTGAAAACCTTAATACTTAGAGCATCCCCAAGAGACTATCTACTTTTAAAAAGGATATTCTATGATTTAGAGGGTATATATAAATTTAGAGAGTAAAAATTTTGAAATACTCCAACATATTTTTTTATATTAAACACTTAATTTTGCCACTTCAATTTTTTTTTTCTCTATCTTTCATTTAAATTATTATAAGATGCTCTAAGAATGTGTTGAAGATTTGAATGCTACGGTAGATTCATTTTTGTTTTGCTACCTACTTGAGGTTGCACGGAAATTTTTAAATTGGCAATATGTCCATACGGATGCTTTCGAAACGTGAAATCCTATGAGAATCTTGGACTCATTACAGAAACTCAAAGAAAATATTTTATTTCTTATTCTGCTAAATATTAATAAATAAAAACTGAGGATAATGCTTACATCAGCTGCGTTTGTAGTCCAACGGTTAGGATAATTGCCTTCCAAGCAATAGACCCGGGTTCGACTCCCGGCAAACGCAAGTAGGATATTTTTTGTTCTAATTTAATTTTTAATTTTTGTCTTTTAATTTGTTGCACCGTGTTTGGCTACAATGATTTGCTTAATGATCCCATTTATTTGCTTGATCATTAAGTAGTTTTCCTTGAACGTTTGTGGCTTCATTTCGACTTAAATGATTTGCACGATTCTCTCTAAATTTTCCCATTTTCCTCTTCGAATTATTTCTCAATTAATTAGTTTTTATTTCGCGTGTGAATAATTATGCATTTATCACCTCTTTTGAATAAGAAATTTACTTCTTAGATTTTACATGCTTGGTTCTTAGTTATTCAGTATAAAAAGGTCACAATATTGTTAACATCGTTCAAAAGAGACTAACAATTCACCATCAACAATGGCAAAGCTACTGACATCTTGTTTATTCGCTATCGTCTTTCTCGCTCTCGATTTTGGTATTACGTATATTCATCTTGTTTCTTTCTTTTTCTTCACAAAATTTAATTTATTATTACTTCTAAGTTCTAACCACGTTGATTTATGTTGTACAGGCCACCAAGATTATGCAGTCCCTTATGATTACAGATTTAATCCCAAGGCAGACTACCTTTTGTTTTAACATCTTTCTTCAAAAGAAAAAAAAAAAAAAAAAAAAAACCCCCCCAAAGGGGCTGTGGGAGGCAGATTCAAGCTGCTGGAAAGGAATAACGCGAAAGAGTTTGCAAATCACACAAAAGGTATATTTCTCATCACAGTTTTTATCTAAATACAAAGCTGAATCCTGAATGGGAATTGAAATCTGTTAAATTCCGCTGTGCATGTTTAAATCAATTCCCAACAGGGCTGGACAATATTCGGAGATGCAAAAGTCGAGCATAAAAAATCCGAGGACGGAAACAAATATATTGTTGCCTCCAACAGAAGCAGAAACTTGGATGGCTTTACGTGTTCTCGGGTATATATCTATATTTCCGTAACTATAAAACACAATTTATATTTTATAGAAAGAAATATATTTTAACATTAATGATATGTTTAGTATACAGTATTTTCCTCCTTTGAAATTGCTCATGTTAATTCTTTTTGCAGCTTGGTTACGGGTAAGCCAGGGAAATGCTCACATAGCAGCCAAGTTCAAGACAAAAACTGGCGATGAAACTGCTGGATGGGTTATGGCTAAAAAGGGTTGTTGGTCCATGCTTAAGGGTGGCATAGTCTTCAATTCTTCCGGACCAGCCCAACTCTATTTTGAACTACAAACCCACATTTTTTTTTCCCCATTTTAGAATTCGCAGTCGTTCATATACTTTCTTGACAATTCATATTATGGCAGATAGTATTTCGTTGCAACCATTTACATACGAAGAATGGAAATCTCACCAAGATCAAAGCATTGAAAAGGTAAAAGAGTGTGTGCAGTTAGTTTTGATCACCATTTACTACCCTCTAATTTCACAAAAATAAATAAATAAAATTTCAGATACGCAAGAGCAAGGTGAAATTCCAAGCTGTCGACCAACACGGCCAAGCATTAGCCAATGCTACAATCACTATTAAACAAAATCTTCCCGGTTTCCCGTTGGGTTGCACGATGAACCCGCTCGTCCTAGACAATGCTGCGTACCGAAAGTGGTTCACGCCCAGGTTCAAGTACACGGTATTCGAGAACGAGTTGAAGTAGTATATCAATGAACCCTCCCGTGGCAAGAAAGACTACGGTCCCGCTGATGCCATGCTCAAGTTTGCCCAGGCAAACAACATTCAAGTACGAGGTCATAACATATTCTGGAATAATCCGAAACTTCAACCTAATTGGGTGGGGGAACTTTCAACAGATGACCTACGAATTGTTACAGATCACAGGATACATTATTTAATGAGTAAATACAAGGGACAGATGATCCATTGGGATGTTGTGAATGAAAATTTGCATTATTCGTTCTTTGAGGGCAAATTAGGAGCAAACGCATCAACTACATTCTACAAGAAGACGAACCAGATTGATGGGAACACAATTCCATTTCTCAATGATTTCGACACAATTGAGAAAAGCGGAGGTCTAGCCTCACCAGCTAAGTATTTAGAAAAATCTGTCAAATTAGAGAAGAAGGTTTTAATGGTCCTTTGGGAATTCGATTAGACGGTCATTTTACAGTTCCAAATCTTCCTTAAATAAGAGCTTCACTCGATCAACTTTCTTCTGCGAATCTACCAATTTGGCTTACTGAATTGGATGTTGATTCCAGACCTGACCAGGTACGAGATTTTCTTTTTTTAATCAAACATATCTTGCAGGCAGAATCTTAATTAATCCTAAAATAATTATCCGTGCAGGCATTTTATTTGGAACGGATTCTAAGAGAACTTCATGCACATGCCGGAGTACAAGGGATAATGATATGGGGAGCATGGACTCCGACAGGATGCTATAGAATGTGTTTAACAGACAATAATTTCAGAAACTTGCCAGCTGGAGATGTCGTTGACAAGCTCTTGTCGGAATGGGGACATGCTGCTCGTTTAAAAGGAACCACAGATTCTAATGGTCACTTCGAAACTTCACTGTTTCATGGAGAATACCAAGCCCGAGTCGGGCACCCATCGCTACTGAAATCAACTAACTTGAAAAGGTTCAACGTGGTATCAATGCCCGAAGTTGATCGAGGAAAAATGCATGTCAAAATCCAAGCAGAAGTCAATAAATAATAAAAGAAATTAAATGTCTTTTGACTACAATAGCTACATGTATACTCAGGTTTTTTTTCCCCCTTAACATGAAAATAAATGAAGTTTTTAAGGGTTTTAAATACTTAGTCGGAAATATTATTACTAAATAAGACGTTATTTTTTTCCATATATATTCTGTAAATATTTTTTTGAGCATTCTTGTTTTATACATAGGTCTTAAAAACTGTCCACCGAGAACTCGAGTCCTATAAAATTGAAAGGTTGAAAAACAATATTGATGTCTGAATCTGGATAGAACCTAGTGCGTCAATAGATGTTGCCTCCATTGTCCTCCATGAGTATGTAACTTGCGCACTTGGAATGCACACGTTAGGGGCACAAGGCCGTAACTTCATGTCTGACCCGGTATTGATGTCAAATAGATGGACCTTTCTTTCTTGTGATGCTTCTGCTGGGTAAAGAGCCAATAAATGTTGAAGAGGCTACTTCTGCAAACTCACGAAAGATTAACATGTGAGCAATAGATGTTAGGAATAACGTGTATGGAGTAATGCAATCACCTAAATAATCGTGTAATTGAATAAATTACTTTGCATATGAATTTGAAATAGGAATACGAATGAATCATGCTTAGTAACTTACATTGGAAGAAATAGTTAAATAAAACTAAATTTATCGATTGTCAAGAATACACTAAACAAACTAAATTACTTATGCCGAAAATTGAAAATAGGATAATAATAGGTGGATTTGAAATTCCAACACATTCATCTCTTATTTAATTCAAAACAAATTTAAATACTTACTATAATAGCTTGTATCTAAATCAATAAATCTCATTTGTCCTCTTCTTTCGGGCTCGAGTTTGTGGCCAATTCTGTATCTTAATCAGTAGATCTCTTTTATTTTACGTAGATTCGAATTTGATAATGAACTTATACAATTCAGTTTAAAGATTATTTCTCATGGGACGAAATTCTTTACTAACTAAATTATTATTTGTCAACGTCGATCTCATATGTTTACGAGTTTCACATAAACATTGAGGTGAAATAGTTCTATTAAAGGATGAAACCTTGAATGCAAAGACTAAGTCCTATATCAGGCAGAAGCCTTGAATGCAGAGGTTAAGACCCATTTTAGGGAGAAGCTTTAAATGCATAGGGCAAGTATCATTTAGGAAGAAATATTGAATATAGAAGCTAAGTCCATTTATGGGAGAAGACCTGAATACATGGGCACAGAAGCACATGCAGAGACCTTTATTGAAGAAGTGGAGCTGTGCCTCCTTTCTTCCATCAAGTTCGGTTAGTAGGCCACCACGTTATATAAAATAGAGTTGGTGGAGAAAGCGAGTTTCAATGAGCAACAAGTGGAACTGCTCTACCCAAGCTTTTGAACTTCCTCTATGTACTTGTATTGAACCACTTGAAAACTTCTAGTGCATTGGAGATCACCACCCTCCCTGCCGACCTATAAGGCCAATTTACGAGGACCGGTAAATTCCATCTCTATCTCCATCTATCCCAGGTAAAGTACCATAAGAAAGAAGGACATTTCAGTTCTATCTATGAGGTAAAAATACCTTGATTAAGATGGTGTTTCAATGCTTGAATGCTAAATTGTATTATGGGTCTTCCATTTTGTATAATGGTTTGCACCTCTATTGATTCAACGAATGGGATTGGACGAGGCACTGGTGTAACAACTATGAACTTGTTAAATGATATTTCATGAAATGAGTATTTATTATTCCCTCTAAGACTAAGAGCCCTTAGGGTGGAGTCCACGGAGAAAAAACAGTCTTTTAATTGATTTTAATATGCAACCGAATATGAATCTTATTGAAAGTAATATGTTTAACACATTATTGTTGTCAGTTTTAAATATCCAGATTTTATTCTTCCAAACTCACGTTGCAATAACGAGACCTCTCTTGTAGATTTTCCTAATATTTTCTTCAATTTTTAGAGCAATAATCGAAACTGATGTATGACATGGAAAGTGATTCTCACACTCGCAAAGTCACCACATCGACCAGGTTCAGTTAACATATCAACAAGACATTTACAAAAAGATTAATTTAGAAGACTTGGGGCATTCCGAGAATCGAACTCGGGACCTCTCGCACCCGAAGCGAGAATCATACCACTAGACCAAATGCCCTCTTATGTCAAGTTGCCTCTCTTTAAATTATTTGAGATGTACTTGAAGAATATTTATTTTTATCTTCACACCCTTCTCGCAAAAATAATTTTTCTTCTATTGTCTCATTTGATTCTCATTTTTTAAAATTTTATTTTTAATTACACATTTTTTAAAATCCACGGCTTTTATCAATTTTTCAACCATATATTTCACCAATTTATATTAAAATATAATTTTTATCAAAATGAAACAGGGAGCGACATGTAAAGGTAAAGAAGAGGTTTATGTTCTCTGGAGATTCAAATCGTTTGTTCAAGCTCCCAGCCTGTTCAAATGTATAGATCATTTGCCTTTTTTCGTCCCTTCTTCACCTCCCTGTAACTGGGCCTATAAAAGACAACGGTCGACTAATCTTGGACAAAGTCATGGGCAATAACAACATTTCAAATGGGAAAAATTACATAAAACCTTACATTTTAAGTATATTATTCAAAACTAAAGAAAATTAACTCTAATTTCATAAATCAGGAGATAATTAAAATTTATTAAATTAATTAATACAAAATTAATATGAAAAATATCTAATCAAATCTTTTCACCCAACCTACCTCCTTCCATTCCAACAAATTTCCCAATCCCTAATCATTTTAACATATCCCTTCTCTCTGTATATCTCTTCATTCTCTATCTATATCTCTCCATTCTCTTCTCTCTCTTAACCACACACTACCATCGAAGCGCCATCATCACTAGGCTCAAGACGCCTTCGGCCGGTCAACATCTCCGATCTGCGATCACCGAAGGAAAAAGGAAAGAAGCACCAACATGCAATGTGTAGTCTTCGATTTGCAGGAAAAAGGCACCTCGGGCGGTGCTGCACGCAACACGTGAAAAAAATGTGTACTACGTATAAATGTTACCCTATACATTTACAATAATTTTATTTGTTGATTGTCAGTTTCTAAGTTGTGGTGTGATATTTTTGAATTCAAAATGCTCAAAAGGGATAGAATATTACCAAAATCTAAATTTATGTTCTTAAGTTGTGGATATAAAGTTGTCGTTACCTTTTAAACTTGAAATTTTCAATCAATCCTAATTAATATTTAAAAGCTCGATTTTATAGCTGGCTAAAAGAAATTCCAACAATGAACAAAATTTCTTTTCGAGTTTTATGTAATTTATTATACCCTCGTAGGTTGAGAAGTGTTTGAACCTCTATCTACTTCAGAAATATACTCAAAAGTTGTTAGTTTTCTTCCTTTGTGTCCTTGGAATAATATTACCAAGAAAAGGATTTTTGAATTTTCTTGCTGTGGATGTTTTATTGAAGCTATGGGATTTCAAACACAATTTCTTGAGCCAAGAATAACACTCATCTAGTCAGCAGCATTTGAAGGTGCTTGCTGCTTTGCTTTTTGTTTAACATAAATCAAAACTTTCAGCGAACTAAAGTAGCCCTCAAGTCTGAGGGAAAATAATTGATTTTCATAGATTAATTTCACTATCTTATTTATAGATCTTGTTTCAATTTTATTTTTCTTTCAGAGGGACTCCAATGCAAGACTTGTGGTAAACTCCCAGAGGGTCATTTTTTCTAGTATGCACATCATAATAAGCAACTAACTATTCAAGCTAGACACCTTCCTGATGACAAAGGCCTGGTGAAATTGAAGTAAAGCTTTGGATGTAGAGTTGCTGTGGTCAATGTAGTCATAGACGTCCTATGTTATTCTATTGATAATAAATTATTTTGATTTCAAGGATTTGGTTGTAATGTATCGACTTAAATAGCATCACATATCTATTCACTCTTTGTCATATGCAGACAATAAAATTTCAAATTTGGTCGATGCCCTTGCTGTTATGTCATAACCTATATGCAATTACAATGGTCATAGAACAAATTGCATTGTGTGGATACTGTTTAGCTTTCAAACTTCTAGAGAACTACTGATAAAGGTAATGAAACTGGAGTTTTTAACCAGAAAACATCAGTTTCTTCTGTCATATGCAGCGAAGGCATGAACTAGGTAAGAAGAGTGGGAGTGGGGTGGAAAGTGGATTGGATTGAATTGGAATGGGGTGGGAAGGGAAGGAAGCAGAGTGTTTGTGACCAATTATTTGATTGATTGTGAGATCGATAAAATATATTATTTGTGACCAATCAATAATATGTGACCTAAAAAATATGAAATTTTGATTAAATTTGCAATCGTGATTTACTATTTGTTAAGTTGTGACCAAATAATTTAATAATTCATGACGAAGAAATAACTGTGACTAATCTTTGATAATTTGTGACTGTGAAATAAGCTATGATCTATAAAATTTGTGATTTGTGCTAAAAAAACTAAGTTCAAAGTAACTAATTCAATAAATTATGATCGAGAAATAACGTGTGATCAATTAGCTTGTAAAATAAAAATATGTGATTGTGACTTCCAATTTTTGTCTTTGTAACCAATTAATAGGTCACAATCGATCACAATAAACACAGACTTGGTCACGGAAGGTCACAGTTAACATATAAACGATTACAAACTTTTAAATGTAAATAGATTTTATCGCAAACATTCACTATCACTGGATGCGATTACTCGTCACTATTAACATAGATTTGGTCAAAGACAGTCACAACTAAGACAGACCTAGTTACAAAGAGTCACAATTAAAATATACTTAATCATAGTGGGTCACAGCTAAGATAGGTCTAGTCACAAATCATAGTAGTTTACACAAATATGGTCATAAACAATAAAAGCTTATATGGATCAATCACAAATAGACATTGTTACATACAATCTGGTCACATACAGTAACAAAACACGGTCAATATATCACAGTCATTATGCATAAATTGGCAATACTTCGTCAAGCAGGTTACATTCCCTCGATAACAAGCTGTAACTCTTTTTCCAATTAATTTCTCCCTCTAAATGAAACACATATTCCCAAAATATGTCCCGAGTATAAAACAAAGAAAAAGGGTAAAGACATCTGCCTGTAGAAATGATCAAATTTTGACAACTCAATCCACATAAATGTTTTGTACCAGATCTTAGAACAGGAAGAAAACTTCTCATACAATTTCAAATTCAAGAAGTGGACGCATCAGCATTCCCTATGATCCAATCTCAGTCAATAATTCTCCACTCTAATAACCCTTTTATCCCTCAAATCTTCACTTGTGATTACCGCCCATTCCCCACCACATAGTACCCCTCCAACTGCAACAATCGAATACAAAATTCATACTCTTTTTCAGTTTTTAACCCAACAATTCCCCACTCTAATAATTCTTTTATACCCTCAAATCTTCATGTGATTTTGGCCGCCTTCCCCACCACATAGTACACCCCACCCCCAACAAACCCAGCACGAAATTCATGCATTATATTGAATCAAGCACTATAACCACTGTAGCAAATCAGAGCTTTCCAACCTGTGCCACAAACATGCTTGATTTTGATTGCAAGATTCTGAATATAAAAGTTACGCTTGATAACTTGTGATTTCATTTTAAGATTCTCACTCTCCCCTGGAGAAATTATAGTGATTTTGGAGAGTTTTCGAAAATCGGGTGTGTAGAGAGAGAAATAATACTTGATTAAGAGATAAAAAGAGTGTGTGTGAGAAATATCTTTTAAATAACGAATAATACCTATTTTTCAGAATCTAATTTTAAATAGTATATTTTATCCTAATTTAATTTCTAATATCTTATAATTATATATTAATATATTGAAATTTCCACCTGATTTATGAAAGTATTTTGTAAGATTGTTAGTTGTGAAATGTAATTCTTGTAGTCTAGTAATTGCGTATTTTTCCCTTTCAAATGCCTGCCAAATAAGTCGAACGGCTTTAAAATAGTTTTTAAACGAAGTTGGCTCAATATACTGCTGCAGGAAGCTCTTCTGCCAAAAAAAAAAAAAAACCTATCCAAACAAGCCCTTAAGTTCATTGAGAAGTAAAGTATATTGAGCAAATTTTAAATCCGGGAGGCTCTATAGCATATTAATCAACATATTTAAAATAACTGTGATAAAACCGTACAATTTACAAACATACCGCCGGTTGTTCTATCTCCAAAAGTCCCAATGCTGTATTCTGTATTCTAGAGTAACAAATGAAGAAAATGGAACATGTATACATTTCTAGCTACTTCATTTCTTTTACCTTTACATTGTTAAGGTTGATTGGCTGTAAGACACAGAAACAAAACCGTATGAACATGCCTCAAGCATTATCCAAGCAGAAACCTTTCAATCACCATTTCTTTGATCTTTATTAGATATTACGTCCTTCAGCTCCTGAGCAGCAAATATTAAGAGCTCCACCATCTCAAATCCGGCAGCAGAAACAAAATCTACCTTCTGAGAACTGGGTTTTGTCACAGCATTGTCTACGTCTTCTTCCGGACTATCACCATAAGATTTATCAGTCTCGCCCGACCAACTGATCGGAAGAGAGCTGCCGAGGGCAGTCTTAATTAATTTTGCTTCGGAAACAATTTGGTCAAGAGCTTCTAACAAGCTAATATTTGTACCATCTGCAGAAGCCGACTCTTTAACCTGCAAGATTGGTTTTTGTGCAGAAAACAAGGTCACACTAAAGTCGAACAAGAAATCGTAGTGTAAATAAAGACTACACAATTCTCTCTATCATTAAGTATTTTAGTATTTCCAAACAAGAGGAAATCCAATTCGTGGTTGTTCTTGAAACTTGAAATGGATAATAGAAACTATGATTACCTTCAAAAGTGAAATACGAAGCCTGTGAACGGAAGTTGTAAGATGCTCCATACTATCCAAGCTCTCTCTAAGAGTTGCATTTTCAATCTTCATCCTGCACAATTGATAACATAAGAGAAATGCAAACAACGAACAGAAATAAGATCCTATCCTCCCTATGTTCACTTTGCATCTTGCCTACCATTTCAATTTACAAAGAAACTAATACAAGTCTTGGAATGTAGATCAATGTAATGTTATTAGCATATATCTGAGCCAAACTACTGATATTTTCACAAACCTCGCAAAATCCATATTGTAATTGGACTTTCTATCAGTGAAGTTTCCTTCGTGATTCACGTGCGCTTCAGCATGATTCCCATCATAACCGACTACCCAGTTCCTTAAATAAGTTCTCTTCAGCAAATTTTTTATTCTTCCATCTTTTTCCTGAATAGTTCGACCTTCTTCAGTTTCAACCAAATGTTTTCCTTTTTTCATATCCTGACTGATCCTCCTGCATGCAGCTATCTTCCATCACTAACTTAATGGGTAATAAATCGCTTCAAAAGTTCAAAAAAGTTTCTCGAGCAAAAGAAGCATAAAATATTATAAAACTAAGTACAGGGACAAAAGAAAAGTTGACAAACAAGTCAGTCAGCAACAGTTAAGAAACATTGTACTACCTTAATGCTAAGCTTCTGTTTGGCAAAATTTATAAATCATATAAGCGGTCAGACTTCCTTTTACACCACGGGAATGATTTGGAAGATCCAAAATCAAAAATAGTGGTATTTACTAGCAACAACATAATGGAGGCAGTCATTCAATATAGATTTACATACCAAGGGAGCCATAAGTACCATCCACCTATCCACCACTCATTTCTAGATTTATAAATTCCAAACTAAGACTAAATGATTTATAAGAAAAGGAAAAGAGATTTTGCATCCTTCAACAACAATTTGATCGTGATTCCCAGATAGAAAGAAGATGAAGTGAGAGAAATATATTTTTTCTAAAACTCTTCGACTCTCAAATTTCGAGTGTCCTACGGTCTTGTCTGAAATCATGTAAAGAAAATTCCTATTTGAAATAGATATCATTTATTTGATGATAAATAGAGTGCATAACCTTCTAATAAGGAATTTTTCAGACAGGGACCTGGTCTTCCCCATTGAAATGAAGACTTTCTAGAGAACTATAGACTAGGGAGGAAAATAAAATAACATAAAAATGAAGAGAAGCAAAACCTGAAGTGAAAGGTTGAAAGCTAGCTACAGAAAAATCCAGCTAACAACAAATTTTCACTTAACATGAAAGATTAAAACAGTTTTGTTTTAACATAATTCAGATGTCCACTGAATCACGATGACATGATGAAAATCCAGCAGTACATTGAATACAAGAAAGAAAGAAGGAAGATAATATACTCTTGCAGCATATGATGTTCCTGCTTCAACTCAGCCAACTCCAGAAGAGCTTTTACCTTTTCATTCGTAACCTAAACCACAAAGTTTATAAAACAATATGCATATCATCGTTACTCTAAAACACAGCTCATAGACCAAAAAAATGACAAAAATAGACTGACAGAGATCATGATAAAAAGTTCATCAAAGACCTGCCAAACGTATGCACTTATTTAATGAAATATATTATAAGCCCTTGTGTGAGACCGATTAAAATCTAAATTTTAATCTAAATCAAAGTCAGTAATTCATTTCAACCATATATTTTATGGGTCCCACAACTTTTCAACCACACATTTTATCAACTTCTATCAAAATTTATTAAAAATCTGATTTTAATTCCTACCAAACATGGGCTAAGAAATAGATTATAATTTACTTTTCTTCCCATTATTAGTAGTTCAAGTCAACTTTCAAAGTTGATGGTTTCCTCTAAATTCAACAACCCCCCCCCCCACCCCCCCAAAAAAAAAATTCCAACAATTCTTTCTCTCTTCTTGTGTATATAGAGATGATGAAAAGTAGAAGGTGCGCGGGATTTTTTATGATTTTTCTTTCTGAAGGTCAATTAGAATATTACTTGCAGTAAATTTCTCTGAAGTTCCTCAACTTTCTTCTGTAGAGATGCATTTACATTGCTCTCTAGCAGATGTCTTTCTTCCTGTTGTGACATTAGTAGTAAAGCAGCAACCTAAATAGATAAGAAAATACATATCAGCACAAAAATATTTTTAAAATATATTGATAAAAGAAAGACAGGTCATAGGCAACCTTCTCTTGCAATGCCTGAGAAAGCGCTTCAGATGTATCACCAGTTCCCATTGTAATTGTGGGTGAAAAGCCAGGATCACTTCTCTGCAACGTGTGAAGAAGTTTTTTTTAAATAAATGCAAAATCAAGGAATTTGCACATACTCTCTCTCAAGAAAAGGAAAATAAAGGTTTTCGAATATAATCCTTCGTTGACACACGTCTCTGTCATAAAGAAGTCTTCTCACAATTTTCAATGTCAAAAGAACATCTGTCATAAACAACAAAACACCATTGAAAACAGCACACTTGTGAAGGTCAATACAAGGTTTTACAAATGCACCTCCACATATTATGGAACAATAATAAGGGAAAGTTACCGACTCATGCACATAAACAGACAATGAAAGGCTCCGTGTGATTCCAAAAACTCAATGATTAAACCAAGTTTTCCGAGAACAAACTCTGAAAATTGATGATGATGATAAAATGACGACTGAAATTCTTGATGCCAGAGAAAGAAGGGTGTCAGAGAGCAGTTGCTCGATTAGCTTCTACAAAAATGAGCAAGCAAAAACTGAAAGAAAACAACTCACGCAGACAATATACGACATAACATGGCAGAAAAAAACATGCCTTCGTGATTGAATCTTGACCAGAACCAGTAATGGTATCATCTCTTAATTCATTTTCTTGTAACTTTACATCTTCCAGCGGAGAAGATTTTAAGTTCTGTTCTTCACTCATTTCACGCTGCCTGGTTTTCTCTTCTACCACATCTATAATTGATTTGATCTCTGAATACCCTTCATCAAGTAAGTTTGTAATATTATTTCTGCACTGAGAATGATAATAGTGTAATGCCGATATCTCCTTCTTGATCTTCTTTTCTGAAAGAATCTATACCAATTTCTTTCTAGTTAGAAATTAACAAATGAACCATCGATACACCTATTTTTCCAAGAGTAAAAAAGTTCTTACTTTCTTTTTCTCCAACTCGGAAACTTTCTTCTTTAAATGAGTTTCAATTTCCAGTCCCTAATCACCAGATTGCGATTGACACCATGTTGGTAAAAAGAAGCCGTAGACAATGCATGCACAACAAATATGAGGTACACAAAACCAGAAACTCACCAGCTGTAGCTTGTTTTGGAGATTATCCATACAGTTACTCAGAGTCTTGACTTCTGCTTCCAAATCACTCTGTCTGAGGAAAAGTTAATCATGTAGCTGAAAATAAATAAATAGAACACTAAATGGATTTATGTTTCAAGCAGGACTTTTAATGAAATGGCAACTGTAGCTCTTGGCGCCCAAATAAAACTCCACTTTGCATGTACTAAGCACTGTACTTGCACTCCAGATGGCAATAATTATAGTGCTCTGAACTCTAAGAAAACTTCAAATTATTATAGAAATTACAAGAAATCAGGAAGTACTTGTGAAACAGTACAGACATGAATCTCATCATGGTTTGCTGGATCCTTTTACTTATTATACTAAGTGGTCATAAGTCGAGGACTAAACTGCTGGCACTTTTTTGTTGAGCACAAGAAATTAACTCAAGATCAATAGATTATTGGTCTTACTAACTTGAAAAAAGATGCAAGTAAATTACTGTGTACCAGAACATACAATGTAGTTAGACGTGGAAGGTTCGTTGTCACTTTGGAAACTCCACATTTCAGGTGAATCATGCAAGAGACTCTCACATTTATCTTCCCAGCTTGTATCTGCGAAATTCTTGATGCAACGTTGCCTGATGTCATAAAATTTATTGATAACCTGTCATCACCAAAGAATTGTGTCCTTTAATATGCCTATATATGAGATTAAAATCCTCGTCATATTACAGTGGCTGTATTATAGGACTTCATGCAGAAATTTAAAACTACCTCTTTGAAAGTCTCATTCCGTCTTTCCTGGTTTCCTAGATCAATTCGAAGAGTGGTAGTTAGGCTTTTTTCTTCAGAAAGTTCAGAAGTCAGCTCTTGAATCCTATATTAGTAAAACAACACTTTTATCAACTGAACCAGCAAAATCAACTATGTTCATATCATTGGAATTGAAGCCAGTACCAATCATCAACCAAAGTAAAACAAATATTACAGAAGAAAAATTAGGTGTTAAAAAATGTTCCTCGCCGACATATCCGGAAAAATAATTACTCTACAGAAACAGTGAGGCGTGGGGGACTGAGAAACAAGAGATAGAAGAGTTAGATGCAGCTTTCAACCCTAATAACACTTAAATCAAATATTCATAAATCTTTCTAATATAATCACATACTCGTTTGACTTCTACAACCTAATGTTTCTAAACTCATTACAATGATCATTTCTGTATTTGTTTTATCTGAATTCAAAGTATACATATGGAGTTCCCTGATTCATTCACCTTTTATCCCACCCAACATAGCTAATGGTACACTCCACTAATCTCTGCCCACTGTTCACCATAATTACGATCATATGGGATGGGTAGTAAGGGACGTCACAACAGAATTTTGAAAGGATTCAAATCCAAAACGGAACAAAATTTATGCTAGTTTTCTCCTCGATGCAACTCTCCTCTTTTATCCGGACTTAAGACCAGCTATAAAGAAATATAGGCGAAGTTAGAAACAACTGCTGAACTCCAACACAAAAGGTTGTGTACTTGCCAATCATATACATTATTTTAAACTGCTTGTTCAGCTTTTCTTGAATGTTGAACATTACACAATACTTTCCTGAGAACACAAAACGTAATGTTTCAAGGTAAATATTGACATTTTAACAGGAAGCAAATCCAGAATCTCATTCAACATTAATATCTGTATGGCATCCTTTATTGTCATGTGACCATGCATACAAGCCCAAGAGAAACTAAACCATAAGATGAGAAGCTCAAAATTATCTCTAGAACAGACAGCAACTTCTAAAAAATATTTGGAATGGGTCAGAGTAAAAAAGTACAAAACTGTTATGTAAGCTACCTTCTATCTAATTTATTCAGCTCCTGTGAGATGAGTTCCTCTTTCTCCCTAGACTTTTCAGCCTGATATTAACCAAATATATCAAAAGAAATTAATGAACAGAAAAGACTATTCAAAGTTTTCACTTATACAGATGGGGAAAAAAAAAAAGAAAAAAAAAAAAAGAACACTAAATCTCATGGATATGCTTAAGATGGGCATGATGCACCTTACAGCCAAATTCTTATACTCACGTCAAGTGGATGCAAATAAAGTTGATTGATTAGGTAACAGAAGAAGAAAAGGATAGGAAAACAGAATAAGAAGTCCACCTCCATTATTGCATTATCTCGCTCAGCAAAAGCAGCAGCAACACAACCTTGAAAAAATTTTAACTGTTTCTCTGCTTCAATGTTCTGGGGAACCAACACCAATAGAGAGTCAACTAACCAAGATATATAAAATACAACTCAATTTTCATTTTGAAATCCTAAATTCAAGATAATCAGGAAAATTGTGGCATTTCATCAAAATGATTATCATTTTACAGCCAGCTAAGTAGAAAACGGAGCTGGTAAGCATTGATTCATAAGGTAGAGCATCTGACAATTAGATTAGAACCTCAAGAGTTCTAAACAAATTCTTAACATTGCGTGCATAAAAACAAACATGCTTGCGCGGGGTGGGGGAAGGGAGGGAGGGAGGGAGGGAGGGAAAGAGAGAAACCTTTGAGACTTCTGTACTATGTAGATCTGCCAGTTGGCTCTAAATACATAAAACAAGATCAGAATGCCGTGAAAGAAGAGTAGCTAAGAGATCATGCAAGCGATGTTAAGGAGATGGTAGTAGTTCTCACTTTAATATTATAAGCCTCTGACAACTCTTCTTGAAGATTTTGATTTTCTCTTGTGCAAGTAGCCAACTTCTTTTTCAAGTTTTCAATCTCTTGCTCCAACCCAGCTGTCCTGTATGGAATCAAATCAAGGCAAAAAATCAATCATTTTCTACTCCATTACCCCCAAGAGATAAAATGCTAGAGCACCAAAGGGGAAAATAAGTCATATGTCAAATTCACAAACAATAAATAATTTTCACCACCTCTGGAAATGCATTCTAGTAGCCACTCCAAGATAGGCAGGTCCAGCTTGCTGCATGCACAATTGTTCAATATCTTTATGCAACTGATCACGTTCTGCATAGAAATTGATAAAATAATAGCTGAACAACCAAAACCTTGGCACTGAAAACCCAGCCGAAGCAAATGCTAAAATGCAGTCGCGCTGTTGAATTAAGGGAAAAAAGGTTCGACAACAACCCTAAATACGATTTATATTCTCAATATGTCCCCCACCCCCATGTCAAGTACATTTAAATCCTGAATTCTCCTCCTCATAACTTATTGCCTGATTATGAACTTTGCCAGCAGTAAACACATTTTCAACTTGTACATCACAGGCCCATTGAAATTTTATCTCAAGAGTCCAAAGAATTCAAACAAGTGGGTATAGCACAGAGTATCCTTCCAGTTCCAATGATGCACACAAATAATCAACCCAGGAAAAAATAAATAAAAATAAATTGCAGCATATAAAGAGAAGTCTTGAAACATCTAAATTGATGAGCATGTGTACCGTGCTCCAATTGTTTGATGCGCGCAATCAACGACTCATTGTCCACCAAGTTATGATCCATGGCTAAAAAACAAAATCCCCACAGGTCAATATCCGTAGTTTCTCATATGAGGATCAATAGTATTCATCAATGAAAGACATCACCTTAAAAATTAAACTAAAAAGAAGACAGTGATTTCTTTTGTGGGGGTGGGGGGGGGGACTAAAAATTCATCCTTTAACAGTAACCCAGTAAGCGTCTAAACTTGGACCAACCTTCAGATACAAATTTCACCCAATAAAAAAAAGTAATAATTTTATCGGATCTTTGGATTATTTACTACACGAAAATGAATTCCTCTGAAAAATGAAAACGCGTTTATCTTCCAGACAGTTCGATTACATACAAATTTTAGACAAACAAAATAATAGATGAATATAATTATCAATTTTACGGAATAAAACAGTTACCTAGCAATCGAAAGGATTTCTGAAACTTTGAACAGGGCTTATTAGGCGTGAAGACGTCGAGGCAAATGATTGTGTTTTGCGTAAATTGCAGGTCTGTTCCCCAACATTCACTCATTTTGTACTTTTATCCCCAACCTTAATTTTCTGTCACTCATATCCTCAGGATTTAAGAAATTAGCAGCCATTGTCCTCCATAACAGTTTCTATAATGTCAATTTTGCCCTTACGTTTAATTAAAGCACAAAAATAAAAAAATGTATAAAAAAGGAATAATTAACTAGGGTTCATATGGCTTGAAATGTGATTTTGTCCTTAAGTTTATATAAACAAAATAAATAAAAAAGAGTGTGAAAAAGAGAATCGTCTTCCACCTTCACCATGTCACCCGCATCGTCACCTAAATTCTTTTGATAGCCTCTTAAATAAGTTTTTATTATTAATCAAGATAATTTGATCTTGCAAATTTTTTGAGTTGAGTTAATATGCTGTGAATAATTTTTTTAATAGAAGGCCAAGTAAATCCGGCCCCATTGAATTGAGTGGATTTTAGAGGGTGTTTGATAGGTATTTTTATGTAAAAATATATTTTAGAATAGCAAATTGATATGAAATATGTGGTTGAAAAATAAGAAAAAGTTTTTGATTTACGTATAATATTATTTTAATAAAGAATGTGTGGTTGAAAATAAGAGAGAGAGAAATAATGAGAATGGGAATGGAGGCCTAGTCCGATTCTTTGTCACTTTGAATATTGCTAGTTAAAGGTATTGAATGAATTTACTTTGAGTTTAGAAAGTCTATAGTTTCCTAATTGTCAATAGCTTCCTTTGTATATTCGTCCCCCTTGAGAAAAAGGGTGCCTCTACTCTATTATTATTCAAAATAATTATCATTAATCTTTGGATAGGATTTATGTACCCAACAATTCCATAAAATCACCTTCATGCACCGTTCATAAGTTTGAGTCAGACTCTCTGCTTCATTTGATACTTATCCAATTTTCAAAAGATTCCAAGCTTTTAATAGGCTTCTTTAAATGGAAAATGCTAGGAGTACATAATTTTTGGTACATAGGGATGTCCACCCTCTCATATAAGTAGGACTTGCTCAAATATCTTATTCGAGCAGGTCCCATCCATGTAAGAGGAGGGATACTCTTATATATAAAAAATTATGTACAAGAATCTTTATCTTCTCTAAATTGCTATTATTTTTATTGAAAGGAAATTTTGTCCCCGGCCTATAACAAATCTCGAAAACAAATTAAGGGACATTGTCCTTTTCTGGTTGTCATTGATTCTTCTTCTCTCCACTTCTCATTTTTCTAAGTTATAAAAGGTGACGTTACACTATACCTAATTGTCTTCTCATAAGTACAAATTAAATGAAAAGTTTAAATAAAACGACAAATATCGAAAGCCAAAGGGGATCAAATTAGTGCAATTGGATATCTTTCATTTTATTTTTGACTATTGCTGATTGATTAATTAATGGACTCTGGGTTTAAGAGAATAATTTATTGAAAAATAATAAACAAGACGCATGTAGCATATATAAAAGGCTAGAAGATAGACACTGGTAAATCGATTAGATCTTTATCGTTTATATTCGAAATTATTTCAACCTACAATCATAAGTTACATTTATAAATATATCAGAGGAATATGGTGAAGCATGAGCATAGTTTAAATTATTTTCCTAATTATTTTTTCATAACCATTGCCTTGTTACCATCATCGTGTGTTTCTTGATCCGAAGAAATATACTCTTTAACTAATATAGAGCTGCACACAAAGAATTAAAAAGATTAAATAACTTTTGGGATGTACCAACCAATTTTAATTGCAAATTGATTGATTTCAACGTTGAATCGACCAATTCTTGAGTTATTGTATTTAAAAATATATATATATTTGGACTAATTGTTTACTAATTAGTTCAATCCAATATTTATAACACCTCTTTGAACTACCAATACTCGTTGTATGATAAATTTAGATGATCATAAAAACAAACAAATTTGATAATTTAGGTTGTCATTACCTCAACACAGGTAAAATGTGAAATTATCAAAGAAATAAATTACTCTTAATCAAAATTAATGGCCGTCCAACAAAAACAAAAGGCTAAATTTCTCCACTAAGGGAAGCTCGATAATAAAGACGACGAATAGAAAAATGTCAAAAAGCAATGTTCATATATAAGATTTTCTTTATTCCGTTCGGGTGGTAATCTCCTGTGAGAATATGGTTCTCTTAACCCACTTTATTCAGTTTTTTGTGAACCATTGGATGAAGATCAATGATTAAGATTTAATCTTGTGGGAGAAGCTTTGACCAATTTTTCACCTAACATATTACTTACCCCACGTTTTGTGTAAGAGGGCAGTGTCTTCGGTTGGGTGGGGGTTATTTTCAAAAGAGGCAGGCTGGTCATTTTCTCCGGGGTAGCTCGACAGAAACTCTCCATTTTGTTGGTTCCTTAAGGTGGTCTCTTGGTTGGTGGTTTTTCAAGGGCTTCTTTGCCGGTTCTTTCTCTCTTTCTTTGGAAGGCGATTTGCATAGCATGGGGCTGTTCCTGAGCCTGTAAAATCTGCCATAAGAGGTGAAGAAGCTGCTGCAAGGAAGAAGAAGAAGCTGGACAGATTTCGGCCATATAAAGGGGTAGTATTCTTCCGATTTTATTTTCTTGTTTTTGCCTTGAATCTTGTTTGTTGATTGATGTTTTGGTTGATTGAACTCCTAGGATCCCCAACAAACTGGTATCAGAGCTAGGAGGAGTGATATTAGTCCAAAATCGATCAAAAACCAGCAAGGAAATCGCCATTACCACTTTCTGACCGAAT